ATTGTGCTTAGAATTTTCCCATGCTTTGATAAACTGTATTTTCTAAGAAAAGATACACATCATATTCAGATTTCAAATCTTCTATATTTACTACTTTTTTATGCTTAGAAGGTCCTCAGGTTTTGAATAACTGTACTGTCGATAGAATTTTGTGAGATTACATTTCACATTATATTAAACAATTGTGACAAATCACGGCGCAAAAGTATACAGTTCTGCACAACTTTAGTGTCAACGTTAGCATACTGGCAAGACAAATGAACTAAATCAGCTCAAGAAATTTCTCTATGTCCAATTTCATGTTTAAAATCCCCCCATGAATTGACAAACAGTACTGTTGAACGTATTTTTGGAAGTAAAATTTCACGTTATATCAAGAAAGCAGACCTAAAACACGGCGCAAAAGTAGACAGTTCCGTAAAACTTTAGTCTACATTTGCATAAAAGCAAGATAAACTGAGCAAAATTGTGTCAACAAATTTCACAATAACATTTTTTATGCTTAGAATGTCCTCCAGTTTTGACAAATTCTACTGCCATTCGAATTTTATGAGACTAGATTTAACGTTGTATCAAGAAAGTAGCCATAAAGCACGGCGCCAACGTATACAGTTCTGCACGACCAAAGTATCAATAATTGCATACTGACGAGTTAAACTGAGAAAAATCGTGTCAGAAAATTTCCTAACATTTTTTATGCTTAGAATGTGCCTCATTTTCAGGAAACATTCAAGTTTTATGAAATTAGATTTAATCTAAATATCAACAGAGTAACAAACTGTAATAATTATAATGTTTTATTTACTCATAAATAGATACAATGCAAAAAGAGAGATAAAATAATGAACTCGTCTAGAATGGACATAAATACAAATCAAAAATAAAGATAAAGGAATACAAAAGTAAACATATTAACAATAAGCAAAATATCTTTTTTATAAAAAATTTTATAAAATTAATTAAATTTAAATTTCTGCACTAAAAGCTTTCTTTATTTTATAATAATAAATATTACAACCGGTGATTCTTGACACATGATCAAGACACACTTGGGAAATAAGCGTCTCCAATTAAAATAGCTATTTACTGATCATGTGTCAAGAATCACCGGTTGTAATAAAGTAAACCTAATTATACTAGGATAGGACATTCGTCTAGATATTGGATTGTAGTTTCGTTGAGGTTGTAGTTGCACAGCGAGCAAACGTAATTATAATTTTGCCTCCAGCGTTGATAATTGAAGTTTATCATTTCTGTTCTTAATTTAAAAAAATAAGCTAGCCTCATTTAGAGTAAACTGGTTGATGTAATCTAAACATAATACGTGTTCATACTAGAGATACCATGGCCAATAATCTGTTCTATTCCTTTAACCTAAGCTTCTCCAAAAATATTACAGCGATGCCACCAACAAATTCGGCCCTAATTCCGTTTAAATCCATGGGGATTTCTGGTTCCTGCGCTCTTTTCAACCAGCCCTTAACCCAACCTCGGTCTAGAGAATTTTTTCTGATAAGATTTCACATTACATCGAGAAAATTGTGACAAATCACGGTGCAAAAGTGTAAAGTGCTGCAAGACTTTAATGTTAAAATGTGCGTAAACTGAACAAATTCTGACAACTAATTTCTCAAAATTGTTGTTTTGTTTAAAATGTACTCTCGCTTTGACTAACTGTACTGTCGATCGTTTGTGAGATGAGATCTCATATTGTATCCAGAAAATTGCCACAAATCACGGGGGAAATTTAACAGATCTGCACGACACCTATGTAAACAATTGCTAAATAAATTGTTTACATGATAAAAATAAAGTCAACGGACTTCTCAATGTATCTCAAATTTTTAGAATGTTCGTAAGCTTAAAAAAAACTGTATTTCATAGGAAGAGATTATACAACATTCATTTATCACACACCACGGAGCAAATGTTTGCAGTTTTTCAGATATTAAATGTTACTATTTGCATACAAATCATTTCAGAACAATATTTCACAAAATTTCAACAGATGCTACAAATCACGGCGCAAAATCATACACTTCGGCACGACTTATATACGATCGCGTACGAAGTAGGTCCACTGAACAATCTTTCCAACGGTTTTATTTCTGTTAAATTACACATTTTTACCTAAAAAATTATATTTTTGATTTTTTCCCCTTTGAAATTAAAAGTTTTACCCTTGTCACATTTTATCATGCTTTTTCCGACAAAAAATTAAGACGCTACATTTCATTTTGCACAGTTGACCTGTTCGCAATATCAATCAATTTGTCCGAAACAATTATTAACAAAATTAATGAAGGTTTCGTCGGTAAAATTAATTGCCGAAGTTGTAGAAAATTACTCCCTCCCTCCTTAATTTAAACCCTCAGAGCATTCGTCTTTTCAGTTGTTAATAGCGATTACGATAGGGGACCGCATGAGAGACTCTCACGCCGCGGTCGTGGGTTCGATTCTCACCGTCGCCTCTGGCCCTTTTTTCACAATAACCCCCCCCCCAAAATTTGAACACACATATATGAATTGTCACATGGCTAATATGCATAGTTCATAACGAAAAAAAAACGATTACGATAAAGATTTGCCTTTTATCTATTACCAAGCCTAAAATATTTTCGATTCGTGCTTGTTTTAAATATTATTCCGTTTAATGAACTAACATAAACAATTATATTGCAAAATGTTTCGTTTAAGCATGGCAAATGACTATTATTATCTAATACAAAATTTAATTATGCTTTTGTCATTTAAACATATTATTGAAAATCTATATTTAAACAGTCTACATAATCTGAACAAACAGCTGTGGAAATGTCGCATTTCTCTCTGTCTCTGTGCAATTATTCTCGATTCGGCGGACCCCCTCACTCTTCGGACTTGCCTAGAGATAAAATGTCCAATCCCTAGCGGATTTTCTCTCGTCTTAGTTATAAAACGTAAAAGCTATTTTTATCTCGTGTATTTTATAATTTTTAGAAATGACGAAAGTTTTATTGCCTAGGAATTCACCGAATTGCACTTCAGAACGAGCAGTCGGTTTTTTAGAATGCCTCTAGTATTGTTTTGTCTAATATGGATTTAACCTAAATAATTTGATAAATTAATTTATTTTATTTTATGATTCTAGAAGATAATATGTTATATCATACAATTCTTTATGTACTTATGACCAAAATGTTGTCAATGTGATCAAAACTGTTACCATTTTTTACTATGTTTGTAATTATATTGTAAATATGAGACAACAGTTTTGAAATATATCTATCTCTTCTTTTTGTTAATGTAATCTTTATTTCTTGCTGGAACCTCCTTTCCGCCCTTTGAGAGAGTCCGTAACAAAAAAAAATGTAACATGATGGCAATCTGTCCCTGGGTAAAAAGGCTTGGTGGAACGTACGTTGCGGTCGCTTTTCCCTCTGAACCCCTTTGTAAGGTTGATCACCGGCCCTTTTAATCCAGTTAATCACCAAGAAGGAATTCCTGGAGGGAAAAACCATGCTACAACGTGAAGTTTCATTTTACCCGGCGGCTGAAAATTCCAGGGTCGTCGTTTCGCATTGCCTTGTGGCGGTAAAACTGGAGTTGGGGATGTTTAAGTAAAGTTGGTGGAAAAGAAAAGCTTGTAGTGAATAAAGTATCAAACGGTATGTGCATAATTCATAACAGGCGGCCTTGGTAGAAAATTGCCACGCTGTCATATAAATGGAATAATATTATGTCCGGTTATCACGTTAAATCGAATACTGAATACAAAAACAATATTTACATTTTAATTTTTGCACATTTTTGTTTTTATAAAAAGATGAGAGGTGAGGTTTTTATTGAATTTGTTGAATGTCTGTGTTTGTTTGTACTTACGTTTTTACTTGATTGTCATTGATCGTATGTAAGATGGTTTGTGTAAATCTCAGGGTTTCTTTGTATTTATGATGGTTTGTGTAAGTGCCTGCGTATAATTATTTGTATGTTTGTTTACGTGATTTCATTGTTCATACGTATTTTTTGCACCCAGTACACCCTGGAATCGACGAATTTATTTCTACTGTTACTTAAAGTAATACATGTGATTGATTACGTTAATTATAAGTACAATTTATTCCTTATTATTAATTTTTCATTTAGACATTTAAACATAATATACGCTCAATGGCGTTGCGAATTTTACGTTATTGCAAGCTAGCATTTATTTTTATTTTAATTAATTTAATTTTTATTAATTATTTGGAGGTCGTGAGATGCGGTCTGGTACTTAGAAAAACAATTTCTTTATCGTGCAAACGTTTCGATCTTTATTGAGATCATTTTCAGGGCTCAAAGTGTTTGTTTTCCGTGTAGATGTGTCATTCTTGTCTGTCGTGTTAAGAGTGCCCAATAATAAATAATTTTTATTATTTAACAGTTATTGTTACTGATAGTAAATAAATGTCTGTGGCTGTATGTATGTTTGTTTGGTGGGCGAGTGTCTGCGTTTTTTTTTGTGAGTGCCTGTATTTGATTATATGTTGGTTTTTTGTGTGAGTGTCTGCGTTTGTATATACAATGGCTTTCTTCAAGTATCTGTGTTCGTTTGGATTCATGATGGTAAGTTGTTTGTATGTATGATTCATCGCGTGAAAATTCGTGGTTGTTGGTGTGGATATTTGTTTGCTAGAGTTGTTGTGGTCATTTGTGTTCATGTTCGTTTGCAGTGCGCGTTTGTTTTTCGTTTGTTTGCGTATGTGACCCCGTTTTGTTCGCGTGACTGTTTGTGTTTGCTACAATTAAGTATTTTTTGTCATTTACTGGTATCTAAATATGTACAATCAAAAACAAAATGTCTGTTATTTGGTCACCAGTATGATCTAAATGACAATAATAGAAACAATATTTGCCTGATAGACTTCAGAGAATTTGAACTAACAAATATAGCTTCGAATAAATAATTCCACTACAGTCTAGACCCAAATATAATTAATCTACATTTTATATAACAACTTTTGAATGTGTTTTTTTTTCAGGCATCAGAGGAGCTCGATCGGAATAGCTGTTCTTGGTTGACGCCGCATTGGAGCGACTGGATCGACCAGTCTGCGGCTCTTCTAGTCCTCGGGGTCAACCTCATATTCCTCTTCATGATCATGCTGGTGAGTCCATGAATAGCCAAAATTCGTGTAAAGAGCCCCAATCAAGCAAATTCCCACTCCCGCTCGTCAGCCTCATAACTTCCAGGCCTTTTCCAACGCGATAGTTCAAATTATACAAGTTCATAATACCGGTTGAATAGCTAATCCGTACTGTTAATGCCATGTCCAACAGAAAAGAGAAAGGCTCGTGTCAAAATGCTCAACTGAAATATCGGCCTTGATAAACAGCCAAGAGCATTTACATAAATTTGCATGTGGGTTTTATTTTCAACGAAACGTTGGAAACACCATGTTCAAAGTTGTTTTTTTTTTTAATAAAAAACCTGATTTTAATGCTGAAAATCATTTTCTATTCAGAAAGACTTGTAAAATTTGAAAACTAGTCCGTTCATCCATCACGCTGAAATAGGAAACAAAACCCTTTCTACAATTTTAAATCATAAAAAGTATTGGGTTTTATACGTTAAACAAAAGAAAGATCTCATAAAAAAATTACATATTTCATCTTGATCAAAATTCCATAAGCCACCGGTAAAAAATAAGTAGTTAGCCAAAAAAAATTTACGTAAAAAGCAGCAAATCCCTCGAACTTTGTTTTAAAATTGAAAACACAAAATGCAATTGTATGTTTTTTCTCAGTCATAAAATATATATTTCAATATCTAAAATACGATATTGTCCAAAGGCTGGTATTACTAAGGCTAGCTGCCAAATAATATTCTGGCAAAGTGACCAAACGACTTTGCAAATTACGTCAAAATATAGTTTAGCAAGAAACTAAGTTATTTCTTATTGAAGATCAAATTGTCAAAACCATTCTTAAGAAGCAAAACGAGAAGTCATTCTTTTCTCATATATGAAACAAAAAGAGGTTTTCAGATTATCAGTTAGATCTTCGGCAATTGCTTCCCCTTTATTGTAATTTCTTTTCCTTCTCTTCTGTGAAAGGATCACTCTAAGTAACTACTGAACTTTTTTTCCAAAGACTGTGGGAAAATTTTGACTCAATTAAGAAAAGGAAAGGTAAAAATATCTCTTAAAGATTTCAAAAGATTTATATTTTTTTCTTCCAAAAATGGAGCTCTTAGTGACATCCATATTGTTCAGAATAGTTACAAAATGTTTACAAAACATGTGCCGGACATAAGACGTGGGTGGGCGGTGACCAGTGGACACATTCAAAAGGATAATGTGACGGCTATTGATACCTGCCTTAAGAAAAATTGTTATCCTCACTTTCTATTATGCCCTACAGATTATTTTCTTCTAACATATTACTCATGTTACATGTTTTTCTGCATATTATATTACATTAGTGTTATATAAAATATATTTTCATAATTTTGTTTTTCCTATAAACATCCTTTCACAGTTAACTTTCTCTTCGAGGAACAAGTGATCCAACGATTCCCATTTATGCAGTGTACGTTGACTCGAAACTTTCCGGAGTTTGTACTTGCCTGACAATTCAATCTGCCAGGCCGTTTCCCATTTTCTCAGATACGTTTTTCATTAGCCAGCCAGTCACATAACTTTCGGGCTGTTATTACGAGCGTCCGGGATTCGTGGGCTTTCAAATTAAAAGATTTCAGCAGAATCGTTTATCAGAATGGCACATAATAATTTCTGTTTTACAGTTCACGCATTTTAATATACTGTTTCACATAAAAATCGTGACTCTATTGTATAAATTTTCATTAATAATCTCCATTTTAAACACAGTCAACAATCAAGAATTCATATTCTCCCAATCAATTACAACAACCTAGAAGCTTTACTGTTTTTATCACATAAATGAATTACAACGTATGTATGTTTATATACTTTTTCTTATCTTTTAAATATAAAGGTGTAAAAGTCTAATTATCAGAGTTAAAAAAATTATTTATTTCGTTTTATTTATATTTTTTTATTTAAAATGCAAAAAAACTGTTAGAAATGGTTTAAAAAATTATGAAACACACTCTTAGGCATCAAATTAAACGAGCATTTAGGATCAAAAGGCATTAAATAAATCCCATTTCCCCAAATTTCCAAGCATGATTTAGCCTTTTTTTACCATGGGTAGTGAAAATTATTCATGCCCAAAGCCCATATAATTGGTTGACAATATATAAAACATTATTTTGGTTCAATCAGTTATAACAAATAAATAGATGTTTTTTACACTATATGTAAACAGTAGTAAAGATTTGTAAATTAACTTGCAACCTAATACCCAGACCCCATATGAAAATATACCTCTAATCTCCAGCCTGAAGTACATGCAATTCAGAGATGTACCCAGTTCAATCTGAACAAAGGGTACAACAACAAGAATATAGTTATCATGCCAGATAGCCAAGCAAGCACCAAAGCTCTAAGTTCAAACATCATTAGCTCAAAGATGGTGCTGAATTGTAAAATTAAACCAAATAAATTACGTATGCAAAATAAAGTCAACCTCTGCTGGGTCCCAGGACATGTGGAGTAGCTGGAGTAGCGGGATAAGGAGAAAGCGGACCCCTTCCAGGGAAAGGAACTCTCACTCTCTCTCTCTCTCTCTCTCTCTCTCTCTCTCTCTCTCACTCTCTCTCACTCTCTCTGTCTCTCTCTGTCTCTCTCCCTCTCTCTCTCTCTCTCTTTCTCTCTCTCCCTCCCTCCTTCTCACCGCTCCCTCCTTCTCACCTCTCCCTCTCTCACCCCTTCTTCTCTCTCCCCTTCCTATCTCTCCCCCTTCCTCTCTCTCCCCCTCCTCACTCTCCCCCTCCTCACTCACTCCCTCTAGCAATCCCTCTAGCAATCCTTCCCTCACTCTCTCTCTCTCCCTCCCCCTCCCTCGGTCCCACTCCCTCTCTCTTATTATCCTAAATTCTTAAGCTTTCTAGTTGTTTTGTGAACTTTTTTTTACTTTTAACAGACACAATTTTTCAGATAATTGATTGATAAATATCGGCGTTTGCTCGTAAGTTTCCCTAACGGCGCGCGTTGTATAAATTATATTTAAATGTAAATACATTTAAAAAAACTTACCGTTTCATACTCTGAATTTGAATTAATTGAGTAATGTGAGATTTTACTGGTTTCAACCATGTCAGTGTCGTTAAGATTAAAACATTCCTTTATCTGAAATGACAAAGTACAAAAAATAATGTATGTATACAAATGAACAAATCACAATTCTTGTATAAATCCAGCTAATAGCATTTACCCAATCATGAGAAATGTTGCAATTGTTCTTTATCATATTGAAATATCCCTGTTAAAAATTGATTAAATATTATTATATTGATAAATATCGGTGTTTCCTCGTAAGTTTCCCTAACGGCGCACAAGTCCAACCCTGTAGGCGCTGGTAAATAAGGCGCGCGCTGGTGTGGTCGCGAAACTAATAAAAAAATAATAAAATAAAATGCTATTAAAATAAAACTCCAACACCTGAGATGGGTAGTCCTCGCCAATCTTCTGTTCGGTAGCCAGCAATGCAGTACCTAAACCCTCAATATAACCAAGGCCCTGAATCATATGATGGCTTAGATTACTACAATACCTGCTAGGTTCCGTCCGAACCTCTTCTATCGGCGGCTGGCGGATATCACTCCCGTGATTTGAAATGAAAAGAAAACTAAACTGAAAATAACTTTCTAGCCTAACGAATGCTAAAACTAAATAAAATGTTTGCACGGAAGCAAGACGTTCGTGTCTCTCGGACGCATGAGAGAAGTAACGACGGGAGCCAGTTGCAGACGCAGTGCCCTATCGGCCCGTTTTAGGGATTAGGGCACAAGGAAATGGATCAGCTTTAAACAGAAACAAAATATTTACGCTAATTACTTTGGCGAAAACACCAACTCTTTTCCAACACTCACAGGTCTTGCGGGTTTAGTATAAATGTGTCGCCGTATTGAACACAGTATATTAGATTTGTAGACACGGCAACACCTGAATACTAAACCCGCAAGGCCTGTGAGTGTTGGAGAAGTGTTGCTCTTGCGCGCCGTTATGGAAACTTACTTAGCAAACGCCGATATTTATCAATCAATTATCTGATAAATTGCCTCTGTGAAAAGTTAAAAATAATGTTTCAAGTAAACTAGAAAACATAAAAAAAGTTACGGATTTAGGATAATAAGGCCATGTGTCATAAACTGGACTGTGTGAAAAATGTTTTCGGTGATTGCACGAAGTTGCTGAGCAATAGCACTTTTGGTGACACTCGTTTTGTTGATAAAGGGTTATTTTTCAGATATACGTTTATGTTGTTTACATCGTGCAGAAATCACGAGAAAAATATGACTTCTTTGAGCCGATCCGTGCGAGCCTGATAGCGTTCAATGCCAAAATTTTGTTTGACTTCTTGATGACACGACTTTCGCACCAATGAAAAAACGAACTTTTTTACGTTTAATTCGACATAATATATGATTTGAAAAATCACAAATTTGAATATAAATTATTGTAATAAAAGGACATATAAGTAATTCGGTAACCTGCTAATGATATCGTTGCCCTTAAAGAAGCCAGCGGTGACTTAAGTGCATGAATCGCATTCGCAGGTTGCTAAATAATAAAAATTTTATTTTGCTTAGTGGTGATGACGCAACTGCGTTAAACTTTATACAATTAGGTGGACAGGGGGTAATTTCTGTAACAGCCAATATTGCAGCGAAGTTAATGAGTGAGATAAATAAGCTAGCATAAATAGGAAAGTATGCCGTATTAACTTTCCTGTTTTCTTTCAGCATTCTTTCATATAACTATTATACAGAATCCTTACGTTTTCTTTTCCAACCAACCAAAAAAATACATCTAATGAGGTAACAGAGTTTAAAAAATACATGATACTAATCTCCTGTGCTTAATGTACTTAATTATTTATATTATTTTTTTAAATAGTATATATTAAATATATATTATAAAAAATTATTATTTTACATTCATAGCGGGATAAAGATTCTAAAAAATCTGGCCTGCAAAACTTGACGGCAGGAAATGAATCCAAAAGAGATGCGTACTTGAAG